AAATGTTTTGTTTTACTAGTGGCTTTTTTGGAGTTTGCAGTTCCAACAGTGCCTCACGCCGTGGGGCAGACCCAGCATGGGAAAAGTCACAGCAGGTTCTTTTTCAATTAATAACCTAAATGTTTTGTTTTACTAGTGGCTTTTTTGGAGTTTAGGTTCACAGAAAAACTGAGCTGAGAGGAGAGTTCCCGTATGTCCCTGTTCCCACATCTAGACAACCTTCCCCACCATCAACATCCCACACCAGAGTGGCCCAAGCCCAGAGTCCACACTAGGGCTCGCTCCTCGTGCTGTCCATTCTATGGCCTTCTAAAAAATAGATCTTTATAGATTTCAGAGAGGAAGGGAGAGGGAGAGAGAGATAGAAACATCAATGATGAGGGAGAATCATGGATCGGCTGCCTCCTGCACGCCCCCTATGGGAGATGGAGCCTGCAACCCGGGCATGTGCCCTGACCAGGAATCGAACCATGACCTCCTGGTTCATAGGGAGATGCTCAACCACTGAGCCACATGGCCGGGCCAGTCTATGGTTTTGATAACTGCTTAATGACATAGATCCATCATCGGAGTACCTTACAGAGGAGCTTCACCGCCCTAAACACCCTCTGTGCTCACCTCGCCACCTGTCCCAGCTCCATGTCTTTTCATGGCTCAATAGCTCGTTCCTTTTCGGTGCCCGAACAATCTTCCATTGTGTGGAAGGACCACAGCGCATTTACCCATCCACCTGCCAAAGGACATCTTGGCTGCCTTCAGGTTTTGGCAATTGTAAACAAATCTACTGCAAACATCTGTGTAATCTTGAGTTTGCCCGGGGCACCCTCGGGGAGCCCCCAGTCTCCAGGCACTGAGAAAGGAGCGTAGGCTGAGGCAGGGGGACAGAGACCAGCAGGGAGGCCCAACCCACGCCAGCCCAGCGATGAACCTGGACTTCCAGCTGATGTGGGTACGCCCTCTGGGCACCGAGCTCCATTTGCTCATCTCGGCGCTAGGCTGGGAGCAATGCGCTGTCCACAACCGTGGTGCTGAAGCCGTGGACACGGCCCCAAGGCAGCTGATCTACCTCATGCTCAGCCCTGCTCTCTCTACGCTGCTGCTGCTGCTGCTGCTGCTGCTGCTGCTAATGGTGATGGTGACGATGATAATGATGATGGCGATGATGATAGTGATGGCGACGATGTTGATGGTGGAGACGACGGTGATGGCGATGAGGATGATGATGGTGATGGTGACGATGTTGATGGTGGAGACGACGGTGATGGCGATGAGGATGATGATGGTGATGATGGTCAGCGTGCCCATGGAACTACAACTTCATGTGGTTACACTACCCCTGGGTCTCTGGAGACCTGGGCTGCTGCATCTACTACTTCATGCACATGGTGAGCACCTACGCCATGGTGCATGGTGTGGCTGGCCCAAGCACTAAGCCCTGCCTGGCCCTGTGCCAGCCCCTGCGTGCCAGCCACCTGCTGACGTCAGACAGGACCTGCACCCCGCTGTCCTCCTCCGGGCGCCTCGCTTGGCCTGGCCTGGCCCCACTCATGGCTGTCATTGTGGGGCAGAAGCAGGAGCTGAAGGCTGTGGATGGGGTGCCGGAGCCTGCCTCCCGCTTGCACCCCATGCTAGTGACTCCCTCCATGGTCCAGGTTTTCATCCAGACTAGGGGGAGGAGGGAGCAGACGGCCTATGTTTTCACCTCTAATCCTCAGGCCACCCAGAAAATTGGGCCTCCGTTTTCCAGGCTAGGGAAGTGTCATCGGAAGTCCAGAATTTAAAATGAACTCAAAGTCTGTGCTCTTCCCACTCTTGTGGGCGTGGTGGCCGAACGTTACTGGGTGTAAGAATGACCTGGGGAGCCCTAGCCGGTTTGTCTCAGTGGCTAGAGCATCAGCCTAAAGGGTCCCGGGTTCGATTCCGGTGAAGGGCACGTACCTCGGTTGCAGGCTCCTCCCTGGCCTGGGCCCTGGTCGGGGTGCATGCAGGAGGCAACCAATCGATGTGTTTCTCTCACATCGATGTTTCTCTCTTTCCCTCTCTCTTCCACTCTCCCCAAAAATCAATGGGAAAATATCCTCAGGTGAGGATTTAAAAAAAAAGGAATTACCTGGGGAGCCTGTAAAGATACAGATTTCATAAAGTCAAAAATATTAAATACAAAGCTTGTCATGGAAAACAGCTGTCTCCTCCCCACCCCGAGTTCTATTCTCTAGTCTAGACACACCTCTGACCACTCTCTGCCTCAGCTGGGGGAGTGCAGGGAGTGTGGCAGAAGAGCTGGGAGGAATCGACAATTTATTTCCCATGAACCTAACAGAAGCCCCGAGTCCCCTTTCAGCTTTACCCACAGGGGAGCTCACAGCACCCCGAAAGCCACCGTCCTGCGTGGCACGCTCCTTCGTACATTTTCAGCCACGGCTCCCTCCATGTCCACCTGTTTGCCTTTTCTCTCTCAGCGACTCTTCCCTGTGTTGCTATGCCCCTACCAGTGTGGGTTTGGTCTTATTTCCTTTCCCAAAACTGCCTTTTCTGCCATGCTGTTCGGTTAAGCAGGCAGCCCCTGGAAAGCACTGGCCACACAGCTTCTCAAAAGGGTGTCAATACCCCCCAAAGAAACAAATGCATAAGTTTTATTTGTAAGACTGGAACCAACAAGGATATTCATTTGAGGTGGGGTTTTTTTTTAGTTTAAATTAATAAAATGGGGAGGACAGCACCAAGTTGCCTATGTACAAAAGACAAATGTAACTAAAGAAGGTATGCTTTTATTCCAAAATAGAAATAACGACATGTACAAGGAGATGGTTTCATAAACGTTGACCTAAATCTGTTATACTCATGGGCTTTTCATTTCCTAGGGGAGAAAGGGTTGGCATTCATTCTTTGGCATCATCTTGTAAAACAACGTCTTCTTGGCCTGTTATCCATGAGAGTGCTTATAAAAGCCTACGACGGACATACGGAAACGCATCCTAGGATTGACTTTTCCGTATCGTTATGCGTCTCCTACGGTGACAGGCCGCTCGTAAGGCAGGTGGTGGGGGGAAGACGGACTCTGGGGACCAGAGTCCAGCAGTGGGACCTCTGTTCCTCTCCAGTGCTGTGCACTCTCCGCACCTCAACCTTCTTATCTGTCAAATGGGAGAGTAATTCCACCCACACCGGCTGTGGGAAGGATCAATCAAGATCCTAACTGTGGCCCAACGCCTGGCCTGGAGGCAGTGCTCCATAATGCTGGTTTAAAAGCCCTCTGGCCCTGGCCTGTGTGGCTCAGCTGGTTGGGCACCATCCCATGCACCAGAAGGTTGCCGGTTCAATTCCCAGTCAGGGCACGTGCCCAGGTTGCAGGCTCGATCCCTAATCAAACCTGGGACCCTTTAGTCCACAGGCCGACGCTCTGTGCATTGAACCAAACCGGCTAGGGCTGAATTGTACACTTTAAAAGGGTGAATTCTGGCATGTCAATTATATCTGAATAAAGCTGTTATTCTTTAAAAAGGAGGGCAAATTAAACACATCTTCAAATGACACACAAAAACAGGGAGCCATGGCTAGTGTGGCTCAATTGGTTGGGAGTCATCTGGTGCACTGAAAAGTTGCCGATGGGATTCCCAGTCAGAGCACATGCCTGGGTTGTGGGCTCAATCTCTGGTAGAGGTTCATGCAGGAGGCAGCTGATCGATATCTCTCTCTCACATCGATGTTTCTCTCTCTCTCCCTCTCCCTTCCTCTCTCTGTAAAAGTCAATAAAAGTATTTTTTTTAAAAAAAAACATTCTGGCAGATAAGTGGAAGTGTATCATGGAACATCCCTACTGTCATCTGCCTGTCCCCATGCCTCTTGGGTCAGCGACCAAGCATTCATTAGAAAAGTCAAGCTGTTTAAGAAACTGAATACTGAGCTTCCAAAATATGATGGTCAGAAGTCTAGTTCTTACCAAGCTGTTTATGTGTCACTTTGGTTGTTTTTATTGTTCGTTTCAAGGGAACCATTTGGTCCTCTTTCCTTTGTAAGGCAGATTCTGTTTCTTCAGGTCAACCAGCCTCTGTACCCAGATTTCCTTCCTGCAATCTTTTAAAGAAAAAAGTTTCTTTTCCCTTTTGCCCTAAGAGGTAGGGTGCCTACCCTATACTATCTTAATAGAATCGCATTTGCTCTGAAGTAAAACCGTTCGTTTTACTTGACTCAAGTTGATACCTTTGGGCTTTTTAAAAAGCAAACTTCTAGGCGAGGACACAATTCTTATGCAGTGACCCACTGTTTTCTCTTGCCTCCGGCCTTTACAGTGAAAGCGTTCTTTTTTAAAATATTGCTTTGTAGTAGATGGTGAGGGAACCTACACGGCTCACATCCTACCCATCGTCTGGCACCTCTGCAAGATAATCGAGAGACTGAGAACTAAGAGAAAAGGCAAGTTCGTCCATGGAAGCATATGGATGACATGACAGAAGGCGAAACTTTGTTCTTCGTGAAACGGACTTGGATGTAGCCCAGGGCGATGCAGCCGCCCCGGACCGGGAGGGCGGGTGTGCGTCGCTGATGCTCGCCACCCACAGATGCCCGTCCCTCCCGCGAGTCTCCGTCACCTCTGGGCTTTGGGCGCGCCACGAGGGACGTGCCAGACAGTGTCTGCGGCCCGTTTCTGTTCAAACACCCCGTGGTTCGAATTCTTCCTTCAGAACCAGCCTGAGGTTCCGAAGGCCCCACTCTTCCCGGAAACCCTGCGGGCGCCCCCCTCAGATGTGCCGTCCCGTCAGAAAGAAGAGCGGCCGGTCCTCCTTGGCGTTGGCCGTCTGGAACTCGTCGCGCAGGCGGAACTGCCACTCGTCCTCCAGCTCCAGGCGGACCACGGTCTGGCGCAGGGAGTTCCGGTCCTGACAGATCACGCACAAGGTCGCCCCTGCATGGACAACGGCAGAGGCGTGTGAAGACAAGGGGCGAGCGTATCCCGCGGAAACCCACCGCCTGGACCCTGCCGGCTTCGCACCATCGTCTGGCACCTCTGCAAGATAATCGAGAGACTGAGAACTAAGAGAAAAGGCAAGTTCGTCCATGGAAGCATGTGGATGGCATCACAGGAGGCGAAACTTTGTTCTTCGTGAAACGGATTTGGACGTAGCCCAGGGCGATGCAGCCGGCCCCGGACCGGGAGGGCGGGTGTGCGTCGCTGATGCTCGCCACCCACAGATGCCCGTCCCTCCCGCGAGTCTCCGTCACCTCTGGGCTTTGGGCGCGCCACGAGGGACGTGCCAGACAGTGTCTGCGGCCCGTTTCTGTTCAAACACCCCGTGGTTCGAATTCTTCCTTCAGAACCAGCCTGAGGTTCCGAAGGCCCCACTCTTCCCGGAAACCCTGCGGGCGCCCCCCTCAGATGTGCCGTCCCGTCAGAAAGAAGAGCGGCCGGTCCTCCTTGGCGTTGGCCGTCTGGAACTCGTCGCGCAGGCGGAACTGCCACTCGTCCTCCAGCTCCAGGCGGACCACGGTCTGGCGCAGGGAGTTCCGGTCCTGGCAGATCACGCACAAGGTCGCCCCTGCATGGACAACGGCAGAGGCGTGTGAAGACAAGGGGCGAGCGGTATCCCCCGGAAACCCACCGCCTGGACCCTGCCGGCTTCGCAGAAAGAAAGAGGCTGCGCTTGGAAGGGGCGGGCCAGGTGTCCCCAGGCCTCGCTTCTTTGGGAATGCTTCCCAATGTTAGCAAGGCAGACACGGCGATGCGATCGGCCGGCGAGATAACATGGAGGTGGAGGAAACGGTGGCCAAGAGGGCAAGAGAGAAGGAGAACCGGAAAGAGACTGGTCGGACGCAAACCAAGCTCTCTCAGCTGCAGCCCGACCAGGCCCAACACCACCTTCTTCTCCCACTAGAGGCGATCCGCTCCCACCTGCCCACCAGGTGAGTTTTCCCTCCTCTCCAATCCCAGCAAAATCAAGACATTCATGTCCACTCATTCCGTTGCTCTGGCTGCCTCTCTACCACCTACCTACCTACCTTCCTACCTTCCTCCTACATGGCCTGCCCTCCCTTAGACAAGCTGCTCCCCAGGGCAGAGACTGCCAAGGGCAGAGATGGCTGTAAGCCTCTCACTACTCAGGGCCTTAGCCTGTGCGGGGCTCAGGGAACACCTGCTGGACAAGGTCAGCGTGAAGGGCAACCCAGGGAAAGCACATTGGTCAGGGCCCGACGCTGGGCGGGACGTCGTTTTAAAGTCAGACAGAATGAACGGTTGCCCAATCAAGACATTCATGTCCATCCAGGACGTCGTTTTAAAGTCAGACAGAATGAACGGTTGCCGCTCTGAATACTCTCGCAAGAAACCAACTCCAGCAGGAGGAAGATTCGCGTAAAAGTCCAGAAGCATCCGTATCCCAAGACGAGGAGGAGGACCTCGCCTTCCCAGAGGAAGAGACATCTGTGGGGACCTGGGGCGGGTGTTAGGAATCTGCACTGAGCCCGGCCATGTGGCTCAGTGGTTGAGCGTCGCCCTACGAACCAGGAGGTCACGGTTTGATTCCCAATCAGGGCACATGCCTGGGTTGCGGGCTTGATCCCCAGTAGGGGGCGTGTAGGAGGCAGCCGATCAATGATTCTCTCTCCTCATTGATGTTTCCATCTCCCTCTACCTCTCCCTCTCCCTTCCTCTCTAAAATCAATAAAAAAATATTTTTTTAAAAAAAGAATATACACTGAAAAGGAACACATTTCTGCCTTTTGCCGAAAAGAAAGGGGATGTGTCTCATCTCCACCCAAACCGGCGGGGGGGGGGGGGGGGGGGGGGGGCCCCGGAACCCCGCCCCCACCTTCCTGGACTTTGCTGGCGGTTTCGGTCCCTCTCTGAGCCTCCGTGCACCCACTGGGGAAGGAGGACTACGACCACCAGCCACCTCCTCAGCGGCAGGAGGTGGCAAGCATTCACGTCAGGGCCCGGGGTAAGCAGAGGACGGGAACTTACCTTTCAGGAAGTGGAACTTTTTCAGAAAGCTGGCCCCCACGAAGGAGTCGCAGAGGTAGAGCAGGAGCCCGCTGAAGGTGGAGTCGGAGCAGCTGACGTTCAGAGAGTGGGGCCTGGAGCTCACGTAGCACACGGAGATCTGGAAAACCGCGAGGGGTCACCGCGTGCTCAGCCACGCCACGGCTTCGCCACTAACATGCCGACCGCTCGGCCACGCTCAAGGTTTTGGGGGACCAGAAACAATATTTTTTGTATTATTTCCAAATCTACAGCCTAAAACTCAATTCCAAGAGATTTATCCGGATTTATCTATGCATTAACTAATCGGAGAATCGGAAATGTTTTGGCACCCAGCCAGTACGGCTCAGTGGCTGAGCATCGACCAGGAGGTCACGGTTCGATTCCCAGTCAGGGCACAGGCCCGGGTTGTGGGTCTGATACCCAGTAGGGGGCGTGCAGGAGGCAGCTGATCAATGATTCTCTCTTATCACTAATGGTTCTATCTCTCCCTCTCCTTTCCTCTCTGAAATCAATTTAAAAAAACATATATATATTATATTTTTTTAAAGAAATGTTTGGCATCAGCGTTGGGTTTGATTCCGAGCGTATTATATTAGGACAGACCATTCACATGCTCTCCTGTGAACACATGAACACACACATGTGAATACGTGAACACACGTATACCAGGTCTGAGACTGCCTGACTTGATCTGAAGCGGCGGCACCTGCAGTGTAAAACGCGGGTCAGCACTGCAGGACCTGACACTTGGTACAAGAGAGACAAGGACTTGGCGGGACCACTTCCTTCAGCTGCAAATCCTGGGTGTCGAGCACCTGGAAGATGGGGAGGTGGGGGGGTGGGGAGGCGAGACACTCCGCTCGCAAAACTGATGAAAGGCTCCTGACTCGGGAACCTGGTGCGGAAGCCCCTGTGCTGTGCAAACATGTTCTTAGACCAGTGATGGCGAACCTTTTGAGCTCGGCGTGTCGGCATTTTGAAAAACCCTAACTTAACGCTGGAGCCGTGTCACATAGAGAGATGTTTTGATATCTGCAACCATAGTAAAACAAAGACTTATATTTTTGATATTTATTTTATATATTTAAATGCCATTTAACAAAGAAAAATCAACCAAAGAGATGAGTTTGCG